AGTTCTCCGAATTTTGTTGATGCGTCAGTGCTGATTCCCTGAGCTATAAGCTACATCCCGAGCAGCAATGGAAGATCTCATTGTCATTGTTGAGACTTCAAACAACGAGCGGTTCCATAAGACTGTGAAAATCGACTCGTAGAAATAGTTACAGTCCTCATCATTGCGGACCGGTGGGGCGTGTCAGTGCGGCTGCGTTTGGCGCGGTGCCAAAGTCGTTCTGCACCAGTTGTTGAAGCGGGCAAGTGACATTACTGTATTATATCCTTCGTATTACTCGTTTTCTACCACTTTTTGTCGCATACGCGTTTCAACAAAAAGGCTGAGAACGGTGTGCACACTCATACTGGCTGACACGCCCCACCGGTCCGCAATGATGAGGAATGTAACTATTTCTACGAGTCGATTTTCACAGTCTTATGGAACCGCTCGTTGTTTGAAGTCTCAACAATGACAATGAGATCTTCCATTGCTGCTCGGGATGTAGCTTATAGCTCAGGGAATCAGCACTGACGCATCAACAAAATTCGGAGAACTCGTCCAAACCCCATTAACTCGTCTAGTTTCAAGACCTGCATAGGGTCTTGTTCAGAGTGTTTTGAAGTCTTGGCTTATTTTTTGCTCAAGTAGTGTCTCAACTACCCCATGCTCTTTTGTTTCTGAACTCCACTACCCACGACGTGCAATAGCGGACTGTCTTTAGTTACGCGCCAAGTCCTATGACGTAGCGGTAGGTAAGATAAAGAAAGTTACCTTGACACCATAAATGTCATCAGCAGTAGGCTCTCCATTCGGAAATGTCATCGGCTTCAGCTCGATGAGATGTTTTATATGCCACAATTCCTCATTGTATGCCGACGTATTCGGAAACACTTCCATACGTCCAACCTTCAAAAGAAAACAGTCAATATTAAAGGATAAAGTCTTCGCCGTTGATCAATCCCTTTGTGGGATGCGGCACGCATTCTACTTCCATTCAGAATCGTAGTGGCTTATTGAATGCGATGTGGCCTATACAATGACTTGCGGGGGCTGCCGATGTACAAGTCAGTGTTCTTATCCTCCCAGGCGGATCTGTTACCAATTCACCATCCCTGTAGTAGACTTCCGCCCGGGTTGGTTGGCCCGGGCGGAAGTCCATCTGGGATTTGATCCCAGGACCGTGCGAGTGGTAAGCGCGCCACTTCTCACTACACCACCTCAGTATGATGAAGGAAATGATACTAAGGCCCTCCAACAACTTCTGTACCACCACTAGTATTGAGTAAACGTTTACAGGTACAGAGATGGTTCTAATACAGAGATGTTCTAGCGAAGTATCGCTAACGAGCCTTCCTAGTGAACCTGTTAGTGGAGGTGGTGTAGTGTCAAGTGGCATGCTTACGCACGTGTGCCGTCCAGGAATCAAATCCCTGATCAGCCGCCTAGACCAACCAAACCTTCTACCCTCCGGGAATGATAAACTTTATCACTTTCGTTTGGGAAGTTAAAAACACTGATTATAGATCAGCTGGCCATCATAAGTCACAGCATAGGTCACATAGTATTCAATAAGCCACTATGATTCTAAATGGAAATAGAGTGCGTAGCGCATCCCTAAAAGGACTGAAAAGGCGAAAGCTTAACAATTATCTCGATAAACCTTTCGAAAGCTGCGAAAAAAAATCGACCTAACAAGGGAGGTCGTTCAGGGCGTGGTGAGCTTTTTCAAAATGGTCTTGTGCATATTGTAGGGGCACATACGAGGACCAGAAAACTGAGGTTCATTTTCGCTGCGCGCTTCTACGAATAAAAAAAAACGTAAAAATAGGTCGATGGTTCGGATCCCACCGAGGACAAAATTTTGCTTTTCTACAATTTTCATTTTTGGATCCATGTTTGTCTATAATTATATTGGTCCAAACTAAACTTCACGACAAACTGAACAATGCTGTCTTTATGGGCAAACTGCCTTTTCGTTCCGAATTATGTTTTTGATCATCAGACTCAGCTCTTCGCGCTATGCGGTGTGCGCATTGCAGATGGCACTGAAAACCGAAAATGAAGTCTAGAATCGTGATCAGGACTGTCGATTACCCCTAGGAGCAAGTTTTGAGCGAAAAATTTTTTTTGACTTTTTCAGGTTGTAGGTGACCGACTTTTTGGTCGGCAGGTGTGAGCGAAGTCTCACATCTTCGTAACAGCGATGACGTGTCGTTGACGCTACGGACCCGACAGCCCAATAAGCAAACCCAAGAAGGTCAAAACAATTGTTTTGACCGAAAATTCGTTTTTAGTGGTAATCAGTGGCCCTGATCACAAATATAACATCCTATTCTTGGCGTCCACGCAATTTGGCGGCAGAATAGCGGTGAACGTTCCCTATATTGATGTACATAACGAATTCAGTGCGGAAAGATGTGGCCCCAAATTGTCTATCATTGACATCACACCGGAAGTTACTAAATTCGCAAACAGATTCACTGTGTAGCCTATGAGGATCAACGTCCAGCAACAGTCTTGTTCAATGGTGCGTGAAAATCGAAATAGTTGAATAGCACTGACTCATGAGGTACAGCTACTCAGAATGTGCCCATAAATGGCAAATATCCGAGTTATATTCATGCGCAGACACTAATGGAAGCGAGAACAGCGAAATCTGAAAAATGCAAAAAAGCCGCGACGCAAGGGGAACCGATCAACCCCCACCTTCACTGTCCAATTGAGAAACCTTCACTCTATCCACTAGGCCATCCGATGCTCGACTCTGCGTAGCGCTCTTATCGTTGATGAAACCATTGCAAGAAGCCGTTCACCCTTGAGCATATGACCCAAGTTGGAAGCTCACTTGCGGCGATTTTTCGCTTCGATTCAAATAGCCCCTTTATAAGGACCCCCCACTCAGCAACTGGTCAAAGTTGCAAGTGACCTACGCCGTATAGAGGCCCAGAACGAAGCAGATTCCAAAGATTTCTTTTCACTCGTTTTTACCTTTCCTGGAAGCGCGCAGCGAAAATGAAGCACACTTTTCAGGTCCTTGCATGAGCCCCTACAATATGCAAAAAACCGTTTTCGAAAAGCGCACCACGCCCTGAACGACCTCCCTTGTAAAGGCATTATGCGCGATAAACTGTACTTGCTCAAACTAGTAGCGCTGGGCGTCTGGATCCGCAAATTAGACCTCGGTTAGGCGCTGTAACGGTTCCCATGGTTGGGAAAGGCGCTACGCAGCTTTTGCTGAGGGTGACAACAATGTTTCGTGCTATGCGTATCGACCCTGCACGCCTTGTCGATTTATCGTGGCCAGATGATCTTTAGGAGCACAACTCGAACACACCGTAGCTGAGTCGAGCTATGTTTGTTTTGTGGGACTGCCCAGTCCGTAATCATAGAGGCTGCACCACTCTTGTAACCGAAAGTGCGTAACCAGGATTCCAGAATTTGTGCATGTGGATACTTTCTGACTATACGCCCCTTACAGTCTTCACTGCAAATTGTTGGAGCCTTTTAGGGAGGCTGAGTTAGGCGCGCTGTCAGTCTATTCTCCACCAGTTGCGGTCGCCTGCACCGCTCCAGCACCCACAGAGAAGAAGACTGCATAGCGGCGAAGAGATTCTGCAGGAAAAACAGTGGTATCTTTCGTTTGTGTACTCCACGGCCCTTTGTCGCCTGACTCTCGACTGTTGGCTCCGGTCACAATCCTTGATGAGACGAAAGGAAACAGAAGCGTGGTAGAGCCCCTCCCCCGCCATCCATAACTACTAGCGCGCCAAGTAAAAACCTTCAAATTTGGCACGAGAGCAAAACTATTACCTTGGGATCAGGGCCAAATAATTTGCTGACTCTTGCTTTGGTCCATTTCGGTTCTCCGCTAAGATCGCGATATAACCATGCCATCCACAGCTTGGATGGTCCAGCCTTTGGCTCTTCAAAGCTCTGAAGCTTCGAAACTTTCTCATGACGTACAAAGGTTTTTCAGAAGAAACAATGAAATCAAAAAACCGGAACCACCTGGCTCATCAACTCCGCCTTGAATTCGGACAAAGACCCTCCTTTTTCATAGTCGAACTCTTTTATACCGTCATTTCGCCTAGGCAAATACCGATGCCATCTTCCATGTGGTCGATAGACCCACCTCGCTAAACAAGTAGAAAATCTTATTCGACTCTATTTGACATATACATACATGTGACTCACTTCTTATAACCTTTGCCATTCAGAAGCTACTGAAATGATAAAATCAATTGAAAATGCATAAAAAATTTGGAGAGGAGTACACGATTTCCGGGGCATGTGGGAAGACAATCGTACTATGCCGCGCTGGGCGTGGCAAGTGACGTCGCGCACGCTAGGGACGAGTTGTCCTGACCCCCCCCCCCCGCAATGAATATGGATATCTTTCGGCACTGAGTCTTGCCTCTGCTTGGATCCAACGAGTTTTGCTGATCTTATCGACAAGCTGATGCACATCAAGAATCTGTCGCGCACCGCAGCAAGTCGCCTCACTGCGCCGCGCGGCAAATTGCGATTGTTTTGCCCGTCTCCCAGATCGCCACACAGTTTCATATTTCATAGGTATGAGGCAAGAAACCGGAAAATAAAGCACAACATCGAAGTAGGACTAGTTTATGCATTTTCTGTAAACATTTCTGTAAACATACTCGTTCAGGAACGGATTGCACAGGGAATTGCTTTTCGAAACAACGCAAAGACATTGACAACTAAAGTGAAACATCAGGAGGTTTAGTGTTTATCAAATTGCTCCAATCAATGCCATCGAAGAATTTATGACCACGGATGGCTTCTGGACCGCCTGTCTTTTCAGAACCAAGTCGATCCTCGGGCTAAAGTATCATATGCTGTTTGCTCATGTAGTACGCATTCTGATGGTAATAAAGTAGTAGTCCGGGTATGGGACAAGACAATCGTAATTTGCCGCGCTGCTGGGCGTCGCGTGCGACTCGCGCTTGGGAATGATGAGCTGATGCAAACTGAGAAAAGGCCGCGCCTACACCCGCGCGCGACTGAGCAGCAAATAACGATTGTCTTGACCATCTCTCTAGCAATCCCACCTTGATAATCATGTGTTACTCTCCTTTATCAGGACGCACGTGTTCGCTTATCATGTATGCAATTCGCAATGTTCCATAAACGTAGTAGATCATTCGTAATGGATACACACTCGTTTCGGTTGTTCATGCTCGGATTTCGTGCTGAAATCGAAAAGGCTTCCAGCGCTCTTCCTAGCTGAAATCTCTGTCTCATAGGGGCCCAGATCGTGCACTTGATGTTGAAATCTTCGCCATCATGCTGCTCTATTCTATGCCTCCCCAACAACTAGAAGGAACAGGCGTTTGGTGAGCGTGCAGTTCTCAAGCTTTTTGCCCATGTTTAGGCC